TAAAATATACTAATAAAGCTTCCACCTGATCATATCAATTTTATTTTTTTGTCTTTTTTCCCCCTTAAGTAGATAAGAGATCATTTCAGCATCATTGTTGTCAATTCCTATCACGCTCTTGTTGTATCTTCTTCTCTCTGATCTCTCTAATATGATTTGATCTCTCTATATGATATTATATCTCTCTCTCATCCCAGTTCTTATTTTTTTTATTAAAGCTTCCATCTTTATAACGTGTTGATGGGTATTATTAATTTAGTTTCATTTTTTTGTTAAATTATTAAATATTAAATGAAATATACATTATATAAATTAAAAATATTATTTAATATTAAAACGTGTCCCAACGTGTCGAAATCCATAATTTTTTAGGATTGACGTGTCGGAGTGTCGTGTCGTGTCGTGTCACGTGTCGCGTGTCGTATCGGTGCTACATAGTTCATTACCACTCTAAACTCAGTGGCGGACGTACGTTTCTGCATTTGTCTGCACTTACAGACACAAAATTTTGAGAATTTTTTTTTCAAAGGGGTGAGTGATTTAGGTCAAGTAAAAAAAAAAGATTTAGGAAGATTGAAAATAAATTTTTTTTGGAGGATGTTTATTGTCCTAAAGGGAGATCAAGATGGAGATTGGAATCATTCACATTCTTGCACTACTTTAAGGTGGAGTTATTTAATAGAGTGATAGATACTCAAGTTCTGATAGATACTCAAGTTCAAGAGTTGGGTGATCGATTTGATAATGTCAATACCAAGTTGCTTGAGTGTTTGCGTTGTCTTGATCCTCGTGATTCATTTGCTAAATTTAACAAAGAAAAGTTGATTGAGTTTGCTAGATTTTATCCTTTGGAGTTTAATGAGCTTGCATATATTCCTTTTCTTTCTTCAAGTCTAGGTAATTTTATTGCTGACGTAAGAGCTGATTCTGATTTTGTCATTTTGAAAGAAATTTCTGACCTTGCTTTGAAGATGGTTGAGAAGAGAAAGGATATTGTTTATCCATTGGTCTATTTGTTGATAAAGTTGGCAGTCATTCTACCGGTAGCAACTGCTAGTGTTGAGTGAGTTTTTTCTGCAATGACTTTTGTTAAGGATAAGTTGCGCAATTAGATAAGTGATGATTGGTTTAACGCATGCATGTTAACTTATGTTGAACGTGATATATTTGATAAGATTGATGATGAAGATATAATGTAATATTTTTAAGGAATGAAGAATCAAAGAATGCTTTTATGATCGTTCTATTGTAACAGCTTAGTTGATTCTTGATTATTTTTTTATGTTAAGTTAAAGTTTTCTTTTCTTTTCTTGTTTATATTTTTTTTAATACATTTAAAATTTTCTGTAAAAAAAAATCTTTGAGGACGCTGCCCCCGAACCCCCGCCTTAAGTGTGCAGACATAAAAAAAATTTCTGAATCCGTCATTGTCTAAACTAACATGTAGTTTTACCCTTTACGCAAAAATTATTGATAACTAAATATATTTTATAGTGCATACTAACATGAAAAATGAAGCAGTTTTAAATTATAAGCTTAATCAATGGTCATTCTGGTTATGTAGTGATGTTAAAAACTTGGTAGTAAGAATTTGTTCATCCTTTGGCCGTGCCTGATTCGAATCGAATTAGAAGGGTGCATCAGATCGAGATTTTAAAAGATTTTAATGAATTATGTTTTGACAAAAAATCTATTGGTATTCATTTAAAATTTTAAAGGATTGAAAAAAAGTCACGTGATATTTGATTAGAATTTTAAAAAATTATTTTAAAATCTGTCCAAATCCGTTGGTATTCAGTCAGGATTTTAAATAAAGAAGAAGTAATCTTATGGTATTAAAAAATCTGATATTTTAATGGATTTTCTATTAGTGTGGATTTCGTGAGAGACTTTTTAGTGAGAAATATAAATATGATGTCTCTCTCATAATCTCACCCTAACTAGGGGTGTTAACGGATCGAGCCGAGCCTAGCAAAGTTTTGGTCTTAAAAGGCTAAGCTTGTGTTTAAATGTGTTAGCCTAACCAAGTTTTTTTTACCTGTTATGAATATAATTATCGACCTATGGCCTGATTTATTTACAAAAATTAAAAGCCTGGTTCAGCCTGTTTAAAAAAAATAAGACAACAAAAAATTATCCAAACAGAATATACAATCAACAGCAGTACATCACTAGTAATTCCATAAATATTCATAAATTCAATGTATATCCAAACAACATAATATAGAACAAAATTATTCAAAAAGTATGTTTAATCAATAAAATGGGGTGAAAAGGATTGAGAAGAGTGAGAGGGCTATTACAAGTAGTATAAAAAATTAAAATAAAAACAAAAATTAATATACTAGGCCAGCCTGAAAAGCTCTAAGGTCGAGCTTTTGAATTTGAGCTTGAGGCTTTTTTATTAAACGAGTTTTTATACAAGTCCAAGCCTGGTTTCAACAACCAATTTCAAACATGTAAGCTCATGCCTTTACGAGCCGAGCCAAAGGTCCCTGGTTTGTTTACCTAGGGATGGCAAAAACGAGCCAACCCGTCGGGTTGGCTCATAACCCCCTAAAAATGAGCATGGTTGGATTGGCAAAAATGAGCTGACAACTCGAGTTAGCTCGACCCGAGCCGGCTCGAAAAAAATTGAGCCACCCGCGGGTCAAATGGGTCAGCTCGCGGGTTGAGGGTTTATTTTTTTAATTAAAAAAATTAAAAAATAATATCAAAACCTATCACTCCATTTTTTTCGTTTATCACCACTGCAAATCTACCTCCTCTTTTCCATTCTAAGTCCTTCCAACCTCACCAGATCCTTTTATCATGAACCACCAAAACCCCAACATATTTCCTCAAATCCATTCGTGGCCACCCAATTGTTGTGAAGCTCAGTTCTGGTGTTGATTATCGAGGTTGGTCCCTCGATTTATCACTTTTAACAGTTTCTTTATGCTTTGTGAATGGAAAACCTGATTTGGTTGATTGGATGAGAAAGAAAGTTGTTTAATCTGGCTGTAATTATTGTTGGATTTTGAGCTCAAATATTGGTTTAGATTCCTGTATAACCTTTATTTCAACCAACAAGAAATTTCGAGTCAATCCTAACCTGGCTCGGGTTGGGTTTTTTGGCTCATTTTTTTTTTCCGAGCCAATCCTAACCCGACTCATTTTTTTCGAGTTACACATGAGTTGGACTGGGTTGAGCTGGGTTGGCCCATTTTGCCAACCTTACCGTTTACCACCCCTAACCCTAACCCCTAGGATTTCTTGAGATTTTTCTATTACAATGTCTTCTTCTTCCTTTGGCGGATTGACCTGCTCGAAACTGAGTTTCGCCGTGGGAGATTCGTCAAAGCTCAAAAACAACAAATTTATTAGCTATTTTCATCACAAAACAATCCAGAAACAACAAACAACCAAGATTCTATTATAATCCATCTCAAAACAGTAGATTTTTTAGAGCTTTTGGAAGTTTAAAAATAAATTTTCAAGTTATGGGTCGCGATTTTTCTTGGCACAAAAATGTGTGATTTTTGTATTAAAAACAACAAAAAACAGTGGGAAAACAACAAGGGAACTAAAATCCTCAAACCAATTTTCGTTTTACATCAATGAAACAATATCAATTTAAAGAAAAATTAAAACTTTCATAATATGAACCTTATATTTCGTAACAATACATTCATGAACGAAATTTCTTCGCTATAGGAAACGATTTCAAACAATTTTTGAGTGAATAGATAACTAAAAACTTATTTTTCAAAAGCCCTAAAAGCAATTTAAGGTTTCAATGCATCGATTGACAATAATTTGAGAAATTTTCTAAACTTTCATGTAATAAAACCTATAAATTCAGAATACTCAAAGAAAACATACATATGATATATGGTTAGAAAACTCTCATCACGTAGAATAAAAGCCCCAAGATTTTCAAGATCAATTGCAAAAAATTTCAAACAAAATTTTATCATAACTTTAGGTTCTATATGCAAATTTAGAATTATTTTAATAAATAAAAATATTGGATCTTATAATCATATAACATAGCTCTGATACCAATCGAAGAAGATAATTTTTAACTCATTGGTCAAATCCAAGAGCAGGAACGAGAAAATGCCAATGCATGGAAGACTATTATAACTTTAAATATGTGGAGAGATGTTGCTTAGTAATTTTGAATGTTTATTAAAAATTATATTATGTTTTACTGATTAAGAAAATTATATTAGGTTTTACTTTTTTTATTAATATCATTGCATTTTTTTATGTTTTTTATTGACTCTTGCAATTTTGAATTTTTGTTAAAAATTTATATGATTTTTTAAAATATTATAAATTATATTGTCCTTTCAAATCTTATAAATTCTATTAAAATACTTTAAAATTCAATCTTATAAAATGATTGTAAAAATAGTTTTTTAAAAAGTCTTTTAAAATCTTTAAGATTGTTTATTTATTTTTTATTTTTTAAATCTTAATCCAATACACTCCTAGTCGAGTAATTAATAAACTATTTTGAGAAATCCAAAAAAAAAAGAGAGTTACTTGAATACTTTTTCTCCTTGATAAAAATATTATTATTAGACTAACTTGTAACATGCGATTACAAAATCTCTTAATAATTGTCTTATTTATGATTTAGTGAAGAATTTAAATAAATATATCAAAATATATATAATTAAACGTAAAGTGCGTGTCATTTTAAAGGATGTAAAATTATGTCACTTTAAGAAAGAGAAAGAGATAGATAAAGGAGGAGAGAGAGAGTTGACAAAAAAAATAAAGATGTGGATTCTACCTCTTTGTGAGAGTGAAAAGATATAAATTATGTGATAAACAGGCTTAAAATACTACTTTATCGTAGACGATTTTTATTTTATTTTTTACAATATATAAATTAAAACACCAAATACTCATTGTTTTTTTTTTTTTTTTTTCTTTTCTAATTTTGAATTTATTGAATATTGTAGCTAATACTCGATTCTGTCACTCAGATCAGATCCCGTCGGCGAAGAAGAACACCCTGCATTGCTGGTGAGACTCTTCAAACCAAATTCTTTTGTTTCTTTTCCCAAAATCAAATCAAATATTTCCACAAACCCAATTTCCCATTGCAATTTCTTCTTCTATGGTTGGATAATTCATTGCTTATATTGCTTACCTATTAATTTATTGTCTTCATAGGAAAATCCGCAAAGTGAAAGCAAAAAAGTTCTAAGCTTCAAAGAAAAAGAAGAAGAAGCAATGCTAAAAGGGAGATTCTCGTTTTTTGGAGGTGGGGATTCCCATTTGGTGGATAACAATTCACCAAAGGGTGAAGAACTCCTCCCTACACTGAAGCTTGAAACGGATAGACAAGTTTATAGGCCTGGTGATCCAGTTGTTGTCACCATTCAGATCTCAAATCCCTCAAATGGGTATTCATTTTTGATTGAAAGACTCAGTTTTGAGATCAGAGGCATTGAGAAATTGGATACTCAGTGGTTTGCCACACAGAAGCCTTTGCCTGGTTCAAAGCAAAGGAGAGGTTGGTTGCAATAACAATAGTACTTGCACTTAATGCCTTAGGAGTATTAGTCATTTGGGTTGTTCTTGTTTTGCTTTAATTTGTAACACCCAGATGAAAATTTGTAGTTTTTTTTTTTTACTGTATTATTATTATTTATTAATTTGCAATTTTTTATTTTTCAGGTGAACATGTTTTTTTAGACTGCTCAACACCGATCTTAGTTGCAAATCAGATTGTTAATGCTGGCACCAGCAAATCATGTATGCTAAGTTCTACTTCATAGGATTCTGCTTTTTTAATAAACCCTCTTCCTGTTAGTTAGTTCTTATATTTTCTTTTCATGGAATGGCCATACTTGTGGAATTTTGAAATTTAAATAATTCTTTTACTTTTTAGATTATTGGCCATTGGGTGTACTAAAATGGATATTCCCCATTAAATGTTCATTCTAATTTTATGCTCTAAAAGACAGCAAGTAAAATTTTTGCTAGTTGCCAATGTACTGTCTTCGTGATCACTGATGAGATTGCATTTGAATGTGTCGCTTTATTTGTTATGTTGTTTATTTCGATTTATGAAGGTTGATTATGTGGAATGTTAATTGCAGATGTGGTGCGGTCTCAGCTGCCTAGCATTATTCCGCCATCTTACAAGGGTTCAAACATTCGGTATTTATACTATGTTAAAAGTGCATTAACAGGAGGGTGGCTAATACTGGAGAATGGGCAATCTCGTGGCGAGTCCACAACTGATGTTACTGATTTGGTTGGTTTTGCAATGACTTGCTCTGATTTATACTGACTTGTATTTACATCATTTTGTTTTCATGCCGAGTTTTTGGAGATGTAATACAAAAGACCATCAAGTGCCTTTACCTAATAATTTGAGCTTTTGGGAGAGTTGGTTTTGACATGGTGTCTTTGTTGTCCCTATTTTTTTTTTTAACAAAAAGGTGTATTAAAACATGATGTAGGTAGGCTTATGCATTATCCACATTTTAAGCTTAAAGAGTTGTTGCATAAGGGTGTGTGTTAGAGATATAATATAAAAGATGACTTATGTGTCATAACCTAACAACTTAAGCTTTTGGAGAGTTGGTGTATGGCAGTATATCTGAGAGTTATCAGTTATAAAATAATAGTATAGATAAAATAAAAGAAGTGGAGATCTAAACTGGCTGGTAGCATCCTATGTAGCTTTAAAAGATGAATTATTCTGCTTTGTTTTATCCCATTAAACGCGAATACTTTAAAATTCAAGTTTAATAAATCTAATTCAAGGTGCCAGGAATGTTTGGAATCATTAGGCATGTGCCAAATTAATGCATGAGCAGGTGGGTTTTACCTACTTATTATGAATTTTCAAATGCTGTTGCTAGAGTCCTTGATCAACATGCCTTGAAGTTTTCTTCTTTTGTAATATGCAATACATAAAAATCGTGGAATAGGTGCATGAAGATGTTATATGCCACAAACAGACATGTGTACAATCCCTTTTTGTAGTTTTTTTACCCAACCTTTTAATATGTTTTGATATGCATATTTTTAGAGTTTCAAGTTTGTTAACTTTCACTTCTGCAGGAAGTTCGTATTCCATTACAAATATGGGTAAATCAGAAAAGCAGCGGTTTTCCGATGGATGATGGTTAGTGTGGTTGCTTACTTTTCTTTCTATTTTTTGACTGTTGTAAACCTTTTATAATGGTTTCTGTCTTCTGCAATAGGAGGCCTACTTATTTTTTTCTAGTTATGAATAATAATAATTTTGTAAAGGAGTAAATGTGAAGATGTTCTTTTGAATAAACTAAGATTGCTTTCTGACAGCAAAAGAAAAAATTGCTTCATTTGATGAAAATGTTTATTTTGATATTTGAATTTTAATGCAGAACAAGATATATGCTAGCAACACACTCTTTTTAACACTTTATTATTGGGGTGAAATTTCATGTTGGCCCCACTAAATAACCTATGCCCATTCCCTATTAGTGTGGCCAGCATAGGATTTCACCCAGTGTTTGAAAAGAGTGTGTTTCTAGCATTCCTATGTGGAACAAATATTGTTTTGCTAGATGGATTTGTGGCATATTTATATCAGGTCATAGGCCTTGTAGTTGTTGTTTTTTGCTTTTTAGCCTTAGATTCTAAAATTTGTTGCTTCTAGTTATTGGTTCATGTTTATAGTTGTCAGAGCCATTGGATGGTCTGCTCCTTTATAGTTGGCGGAGATCGTTTTCTATTTACCTACAATTGGTTCTTTTTTAAGAACATACAGGACTTTCTGATTCTATGCCTTATGTACAGCTAGGTGTAGTTATTAGTTCCTATGTTTTAGTGTTTTCCCATCTGTATTTTTGGTTACCATTTAGGTAAATATTACCTCCTATTTTTTAAGTCTAGACTAGTGTACAGCCTTAACCCTAATTCCCTATTTATGCTGCCATCTTGTAATCAACAGAATAAGAAAAATATTATATTTTTTTATTGACTAATTGGACAGAGAATACTGATAATAAAGGTATTCTCGTATGCAAGACTCTAACTGTTGCAGCTGGAAAGCAAAAGTTTATTAATTGTCAAGTTTCTACTTTCTAGTATGCAAGGTTCTAGCTGTGACATAAGAGGAATCTTTTTACATTTTGAACAGGTTTGTCTTGTGGGTTTCTTTTTATATTATTTTCAACATTGATTCCGTATGGCTCCTTTTAGATTTTGTTACCTACTGGTGATCTGCTACATCAGATTCCTGTCTGTAGAAAAAAGGGGTATGGAGACTAAACGGGTAATTGGTGCAGGGCATAATACCTTGCTGTGGTGAGAAATAGTTTAAGTAAAGCTCTCCAACCTTTCTGGAAGAGGATAGGAATGCCTTTATGAATAGTCTTTCTATTCTTAAGTTCTGAGACTGTATCTGGTTTGAATGTTAATCTGTTTAATAGTTGTTGGCTTGTCTGAATGTGGAAATCAGATTCTTTCTATGTATGTTTTACTGGGTGTATGTGAAATTCTACATTTCCCTCTTACTTGGGATCTCTTTTGGGTTCTAGCCACTTCTTTGTGGAATCCTATGGCTCGTAAGATATCTAAGTGCGTGGATAACTAGAAGTTCTTGTTTACTCCTTGGGTGGTCAGCTTATGCTTATTTAGACTTGACATGCCCCTCTATTATCTCATGTTTTTTTTTTCTGATATCAATGGAGTTTTGGAAAGGTTGAAAATTATGTGGGACTTTCTTTAGTCTGGTGTGGGAGAGAGATAGTTCTCGTTAGTTGGGAAGTTTGTTGCAGGTCTAAATGAAGGGGAATTGACTCTTGAGAATTTGTAGTGTTAAGACATTGCTTTGGTGGCTACACTGTGGTGCCAAATCAGTGAGCAAAGTGGATCAAAGGGTCAATAATCCAATTGAAGTACATGATGAACTATGAAGAGATTATGAAAAACCATTAATATTGTTAAAGAGATATAAAGTCATTAATGTAGCTTTCACTTAACAGGTTAAGCTTTGGGTTGCAATTGTTCTTCACATGGTATTAGAGTCCATGTGACCAAGTGGTTATGAGTTTGATTCTCGCACTGCCCACCATTCTATTAATAAATAATTAAATATTGTGGAGTTTCTTATCAGATACAGGTGGGCTTGTGCATTGTCCATCTTCCAATCCCAATGAACTCTTGTGTGAGGGGCATGTTAAAGAAATATAAAACTATTAACGTGGCCTTTACCTAATAGTTTTTGGGTTAAAATGGTTCTTCACAAATATTATAATATTTTATGTATTGAGTTGTCGTTGCAATGTTCTCAGTCCATGGCATGTTAGTATTGGCATTTGTTCAAATTCAACCTTACAGTTTGCAACTCAAAAAAGAATGATTTAGTAAGCAAACTCTGATATAGCTCTATATCATTGGATAATTTACTCATTGTTCATAAAAATTGACTGCAGATCGTAATAATAAGGTTCTTGTTCTTTTGCACCTATACATTTTTCCTTTAATGTAGCTTCAGAAAGTTTTAGTCATCTTAATCTGCATTAAACATTGTAAGTAATATCCACGTGTTTATTTTTTTCCAGATATTGTTCCTTTAACTTCTGCACAACTGGATATATTTTGGAAAGAGATGGATGGAGATGCAGATTGGGTATGCTATTGGTGATATTTTTATATTGGGTAAACTATACTTATCTGTGGTTTAGCCTAAATTTGTTTGCAACCTATTGTTTTAAGAAATGCCCCTTATTTGTTATAAAATATAACACTTTCTATTTGCAAAATGTTAAATCACTTGAAAAATTACATTTAAACTGAGTGTGGATGGGATTCCGAAAAAAAAAAAAATTCATGTAAGAGGAATACAGAGAAAATGACAAGTGGTAGTGACTAGCTGAGGATATATAAATTTGTGTATGTCCCGGACACAGTTGATCTCTTTGTCATATCTGGATTACAGTCTATGAAGCACAGACACTGTATAAACAGTGATACGGGGACACACCAAATTTTGTAGGACACCGACACGGCATATATATATAGTTGAAAATTTAAGGAAAAAGATTCATGATATAATATTGACAAGCTTCAACATTTACAATATCTTGATGCATGTCATATATGCCAAAATAAAATGAAAAAGTTGAGGGAAATGAAATTGGTACATGACAAAAGCACTATTTTTTTTTTTATTATTAAAACTGCTTAAAAATTTAAACAGACCCAACGTCTGCGTGTGTATATTTATTTATTTAATTTTAATGACTTTGTTCACATCATGTCTTTGTTGTATGCTGCCATGTCAGAGCTGATTTTTTTTTTTTTTAATTGGACCTTTATGGGATCATATCAAAGACATGTTATTAGTGTGTCGTGACAAATCACTAGGATTGGTCTAGTGGTGAGGGGTTTGGGTAGTTTGTATTAAGTTATGTGTTCAATTCTCATTATTGTATCAAAAAAAAAAATATTAGTGTGTTGTGACATGGCAACAAAATGATGTGTATGTGCTTTATAGATTACGATCAATAAATGAAGAAATCAAAGAATTAACTTACTGTTAATAATCAGTTGCTAACTTATAGCTTAATCACTAGATAATCAACATAATTACAATCACTAGATAACTTATAGCTTTATAGATTACGATCAATAAATGAAGAAATCAAAGAATTAACTTACTGTTAATAATCAGTTGCTAACTTATAGCTTAATCACTAGATAATCAACATAATTACAATTGGCTAGTGCTAATATTTTAACAGCTACAACATTTATAAATAGAAAACTGAGATACCATTTTTAAGCACTAAATTAATATAATCCCCTGCTGCATAACTTCAAAATGTGTGTTGGCCTAGTGGCATTGTCATTCCCATTTATGCAGGTTCAGATGTTCTAAAGTCAATTTTAATGTGAGGAGTGTTTAAAACAAGATATGTCATTCTTTGAAACACTTAACCTGGTTCAAGGCCTCTATGTGGCTTGGTTCTTCCGGTTTTCACTTTTAAGTTAATCTGTTGATTTCACAAAGATATTGGCTCGTTTAGGCAAAACTTTGGTTATTAAAGGATGACTAGAGGAGTGTGTGGTTGTAGTAGATTCTGGTGATACAGAACTGGCTGGTTGGTTTTGATTTTAAGAACACTGGTTGTAGGTGTATTAGAGATCTTCAAAGGTTTTATTTATCTTGAATTCTGTTTTGTGTTTTATGAGTTTAAAGGCTAATGTTCTTTTATTCCTTCATTTGTTGCTTGGCATTTGGAATGGCTTACTTGCATTTTTACTTAAGAGTAGCCAATAGGCATGTTCATAATCCTTGGCAAAGCTGATGCTAACTAATTTAATTTTTTAGAAGGAAAATTGTTTGTAGGGGTTGGTTGCCTGTTCCCCTTGTGTTATGATTTATTCTTCTTTTCCCCGTTAGTTTTATTTGATTTGGTCTCATCCTTAATTATATTCCATTCCCCTCCCCCCACTTGAATCTAAATCTCTTTCTTGACTCCCCTTTCTCAAAAGAATTCAGTTCTGGTTATTGGTTAAACTGTTCTATGTTTCAGATTCTTTTTGGGGAATCGTGTATTTCTTCCATTTCTGGCTGCAGTTCAAGCCATCATTTGGCATGCTCTTTTTGAGTAGTAACTTTTACTTACTGCATGCTGTCCTTTTTATTGGACCATTGGTAACAGGTTAGAGCAAATGATATTGATGATCGTGTTGAGGAGGGCTATGACAGCTCAAGGGATGACGTCTCATCTGTTTCTTCGTATAACCCCATGAAAGAAAATCTACACAGAGGCTTTGGAAGTTCTCTATCATTGCGATCTTCTTCTGCAAAATCATTGACCCGAGATGCTTCTGCTTTAGAAGGTTTTAGGACAAGTTTATCTTCAAATGTGGCACTTCCTCGGCTGTCTGTTGCTGAAGTGTTAAATGATTCTGGTGAGCAAGTTAAACTATACCTACATGTCAGTTTATTTATGTAACTGCTCATTCTTGTACAAATTTAGTTCTGAAACAGTGTCAAGTTGTATTCTTAGTGTCTGATCAATAGGAGTCATCTTATGCTATTGCTTTGAATCCAAGGACCTGCTTTGTCAAATAATAATTCATTTAGCAAACAGATGTCTTATCGACGCAGAAGTCATTTACCATTGTCTCCCCAAGTGAGCAACAGAAGTTCAGAAAGCCATTTTCTGAAGAAGATGATGCAGGAGTATCCTCTTCACCAGAAGCCGGAGCTGTTGAATCTTTATCATGTAAATTGATGCATTTTCTTCACTTCTAAAATGATTTTATCTGCGTTGGATATATACTGGATATTGTGCTTCAAGTTTTCGTTAGATTCTGCTTAGGTTAATTTTGTACAGACATTTTCTGCAGCAGAAGGCTTCGTTAGAGGAAGGTCTTATAACATCAGACTCGATGATCAAGTTTTGCTTAAATTTTCCCCTAAAAATTCTGATTCAACTTATTACTTCAGTGACATGGTAAGGATAATCATATAGTTTGATACATGTGCACAAATTAAGAAGTCTAATCACCAACAACTTTCTTATAACAGATAGGTGGGACTCTTACTTTCTTTCATGAAGAAGGAGCTAGGAGATGCCTTGAGGTGACTGCCCTTTTGTCAGCTGTGGAGAGTTAAATTAATAACTAAAAAACCATTTATTGTGATTGATGCACTATCAATGAATTTATTGTTATAATAATTATTTTTCTAGATCTCAGTAACATTGGAAACTTCGGAAACTATAAATCGGCGATTTGTCCACCCTTCTAGAAGGAATTCCCCTACAATCACAAAGGTATTTGCTGTTGCTTTTAGCTCTCACTGCTTAAGCTTCTTTTAAATTTTTTCTGAATGGTGGTATCAAAAGCCAAAATTTCATTAAATCCATCTAGATTAAAGTCTTTGTAAGTGGTTCTTCTGGCTTTCATATAGCTCTTTTTTCTTTTTCTTTTTTTGTAACTAAAGAGGGCTCAAGCCCTTCATGTAGCTCTTTCAATCAGACTTTCTTTGACTTCTCACTAGAGCTTGTGTTCGTCTAAACCTCACATTACCCTACCACCTTGGCAAGTTTCTGTTGTCTTCTTGATAGATGCTGTTCCAACTTCTACCAAGTACACTTGTTCCTAATAATAAAGTTCCTTGTATATCTATTCTTACATTTCGACATTCTCATTTGCTATACTTATTTGTTTTTGCTCGTTGGCACTTCACTTCCCATCTTTGTGAATTGTGATTTCAAATTACGCTTGAAGCATTTGTCTATTTTATCCTATACTTATTTATATATTAAGCGCAATGTTTCAAAATAGCCACACTAAGAATGCACCATTTGCTATAGCCCTAAAAGCCCCTTGTGACTAGAGTGTGTTATTCATTGTTATTAATAACGTTGATTTGGTTTACTGGTGCCTTTCGGTTGAGCAAAATGCCAGGATTATTCAAAGGCCAATCTCTTGTTGACTTTTTGAAGGACTTGTTCTTTTAATGTCTGTGCATCATTCTCTGCCTGTGTCCTATCTTCTTTATGCAATATTCAAGAGAGAAAAAGTAATGGGATCATTATCTAACTAGTAAAAATCTGAGCATGTATATATTTCAATATAATATTGGCTCCTGATTCTGACAATTATGTTCTCAATTGTTCTTTTAGGTTCAGAGTGATCATCATGAGGTCGTCGCAGATTTGGTACAGACAAGCTTTCTTTTTTCTATCCCTATGGATGGTCCAATGTCCTTCTCCACTCCACGTGTATCTGTGCAATGGGTTCTCCGCTTTGAATTTTTCACAACTCCAAAGCACGTGGATTGGAAAAAGTATGATTTTCACCCTTCACCTCTTCTACCTATATTCTGCGGTTTTTGGTTGGTCTTACTTGAGATCAACTCATTCTACAGTCTACAGACCATACATGCCATCTTTGGCTGCACCCTACATATATTTTCATTAAATAATCCAACTATTGTTTTCTTTTAAGGTTTTGCAATTTTCCATTCTTAGACTCTAACTATGACATGTGTACTTGTCTTCTTTGACTTGTACCACTTTTTGTCAGTTTATACATAATGTACACGTACTTTAGGCTTCTTGATCCTTTGATTTTAGTATTTGAATCTTATATTTCTTCAAGGCATGGCTAAAGATCAATCTTTAATTTTCATTGCTTTGTATTGTACATATTATTACAGTAGAGACAACCATAATACATACTTCAAATGAAGAAAATAGGTCTAGTCGAATTCTTTCAGGCATTTGTCATTTAAATTTATATGGTTTCTGAACCACAGGTACGAGCATCCTCTTCTGATCGAGGGGAGGGAAAAAACTGAATGGGTTCTTCCAATTACTGTGCATGCTCCACAACCTAGGACTCCTGCTTCTGGCACAAGAAAGGATAAACTTTTCTCTCTGGATCCTTTATGGGTGCAAAATTGAAGGTATTGATGAATCTTTGATTTACACTTTATATATATAAAAATGGTGGAGGGTGAGCATTGGAGCAGCGGTAAGTTTGCTCCTTTTGATTTCACAGGTTCGAGTTCGAGAAAAAGTCTCTTTGGAAAAATGCAAGGGTAAGGCTGCATACAATTGACTTTCAACCCCTCCTACCCTTGCAAAGTCGGGGAATCTTGTACCCCAGGGTTTGGTTTTTTTTTTTTTTATATAAAAAAATGGTATGATTACCAATATAAACTTTATGTACCTATGAAATACATAATATAGATTATAGAATATCAAATTCCTGGAATCTGTGAAGTGGGGAATACCTGAATTCAGAGATGTTTGCCATCCCTGTTGGCAATCGTTCAATTCTAGGACATATCACTGCAGCAATCTTCTGTTGCACTATTCCAATTCCCCAATTTCTGTTAAACATCATTCTATATACTTTTTTTTTTTTTTGTTAAATTTGGTTATCACTTTTTTACAGTTATGATTACTATTTACTCAGAATAACTGGTTTTGATATTGGTTTATTTTCTGCAGTTCAAATAAACTGGGGCTGAAATGTGTGCAATCGACCATCTTGGCCTTTTTAATATTCCTCAAGCTTCATTCTTAATGTACAAAATTTTCACAAGACAGCAGCCAGTGAAATTTCGTAATGATCTTTTGTAGCACACCAGAATTCGGACAATTGTTCGCGATCAGTTAGCTCTAAAGTTTGCCAGAGGTCTTGGAGTACAGTATTCTTTTACCTGTTGTTTCTTGTTTTTCTTGTTTGCCTTTGGTACTGGGCTGATTTATGTCAAATAGTTCATCTAGTTCTTAATTTCCTTTTTTTCGTTTTTATTACAAAGCTTTTTTAGTAGATTGTATGGATATTTGTTTCAGTTATTAAATCTTCAATTTGAGATTGAAGTCTATAAGTTGTTGCCTTAGATTTTGATGCTTTTATGTCTTTGGACATCTTGGATCAACACTGTTAGCATTGCTGTTGTACGCTTCTTTTATTTCTTTTACATGTTCTACATTCTTTTTGTGCTATTAACTACCAATACTACTGAACACCCCTCCTCTAGATACCGTCAATGTATAATCTGTCTTGAATTGTAAAAATCTGTCTTTGAACTCAATCTAGAGTTACTGGCTACCATTATTGTGATGCAAAATATAGCTTTATTTTGATGTTGACATAATCATATTTTTAAAATTGTTAATTATGTTGAGGCAAAAGTGGGTTATATGAGTCGTTAATTGTTAAGAGGGTTAGCTGATACCGGAAGAAAAGAGATTTAGACCTTTTAAAGAGGATCACCTCCCCAAATCACACCCTTTCATTATAATCACCATTGTTTCTCTTTATCTTTTCCTTACAATATTTCTTTCCACGTAAGAAATTACAGTAGTCAAGTGTTGGATATTAGTGAAATATTTTAATGAATATCTTATAATATTTTATAAAATAATGCGACTTTGGTGTGGAGTTCATGCTACTTTATTATAACCGACAAAGACTATATTAACAAAGGACATAATTTATTGAAGGAATACGATTTTCAAGAGAGCTATATAGTTTGAAAAAAAAAAAAAACTTGCTTCTTGCAAATAAAATAAGCAAATAGATTAAACCATTGAGATACTTCATATGCTGCCTAGAAAATGCTAATTAATTTAGAATTGAAGTAAGGGGATTAATCTTCAATGGCCTAAACCCATGATGAAGACTTGCTTGCCATACTTTCTCAATGCTAAACATGATGTCTCCACACTCATTAACGTTCCAATCTTCTAAAGCATGCACTATTCCAGCAATACGCCACGCACTCATCACTCTTCTTGGCAACCAATTCTGTTGCATATTGAAATTCGTAATTTTACTTAAGAAATTTTAACATCAAAATGGTTGAAAGCATGGTGCAAAGTATATCTACTTACCTCACAAGAGTGCACATTCTCTAAAGAAGGGGGAGTTATCATGGCTGGTGTGCTATGGTAGAAGCAGTCTTTGCGCAGTTTCTTCGGAGGGAATTGTGAAAAAGGGATAAACAATGATCCTTTTGGTGCCTTTTTTTGTTCAGCCTCATTACATTGGTCTCCTACTACCCATATCTGCAAATTCAAGTGGGACCCATGATTTTGATATAGAAGTAGGATATTTATATTATTATTTTTTTCACTACTAATCCACTACCACTCTAATCACCGTTGGATCAAATTTTTCAGCAAAAAATAGCTGAAGAGAGAGAAAAATTGTTGAAAAATTTGATCAAACAGTGATTAGAGTGGTAGTGAAAAAAATGATAGTATGAATATTCTACCTCTTGATATATGATAACTTTAAATAAACTGAAGCATTTGCTTTTTCTTGAATTGAAACTGTGAAATATAGAAATAAAGTGGGGAATTATTAAATGGTTTGAAGGATTTACCTTTGCAGTATAGGATCCCGGGAAAACCAAATTCTTTTTGGACTCAGTGGAGAGCCTTAATTGAAGATTGTCATAATCATCCTTGTACATTGTTGTAACCTAAACAAAAATTCCATTTATTATATATGGAAACAAAGCGAAATTAGAGTTCAATATTTATTTTTTTGTAAACAGATTAGAGTTCAATAATATATTGTTTAGAATTTCAATATTTAAAAAGGTTTTCTACACTTTGCCCATTAATCCTTTCTCATATTGGTTTAATTAAGATTTTTATGTGGAGTTTACACAATTTACGAAAATTAATATGTAAATTTAAATTTGAAATATTATGATAATAAAACGAATTGTCTTACCATTTGAATAAACTAGTGTGGTATATCCCGATATTCTACTACAACAAGTTGACTTCAATTCATTGAATGGTTTACCTATTCTATAATTCTAAATTCAAAAAAATGACATAAAAGATTACCTCAAGTTGTTTTAAGTTTTTTTTTTTTTTTTTCCCGGTAAATCTAAATAATTTTGGTTAATCTAGACTATTTTCACAACTTTCTCTGCTAAAACGTTCAAGCTTATTGAAATTTTAAATTTAATAAATGAATAAAAAAAAGGCATCTATAATTGTGATAGTAAATTAATGCTCAATAAACAATTCATTGAAATGGCTAGCTCTAGCTATTTAGTCACGATGATTCAATAAACAATTCATTGAAAAGCCATCTTTAGTGAAGTGATCGAAGTCATGTTTCTAATGATTCTAAAATCGCCTTTTGTATTTACAAAAAATAAAAAATAAAAAAAAATCGCCTTTTGTTGAAATAATTGCGCAAATAAAATCAAACATACCTTCGTACCCCTTTCACATAAAGCATTGGCAATGGCATACGAAACCTTAGTAAGTTTACCACAAAGAAGCACTTGGGTTGCCTCTATGGGAATACTGTTAAGAACAATGGCCACAACTAAGCTACTGCCATCCACAATCTTTATCTTAAGCTGGGGATATTTTTGAATGTAAAGCTCCCCATATTTATTCAGCTTGTCTCCCTGCATTATTAAAGATAAAGTTTATATTATATATATATATATATATATATATATATATATATATATATATATATATATATTTTGACACAAATAATTATTGTAATAGATAGTTACACTTCGCCGGTTAGGTAAATATAAATTAATACAATATTAAATTATTTGTGTATTTTTTTTTTAGAAATATTTCAATCGATTTATTGCTTCGCAACTAATCCGATTCGAGACGGGTCCAGAATTAAGACTTTAAACCTCTCTGAAAGATGGTTTATAATATGATATTAAAACTTCTGTGAAGACCACATTTCTTTCCACAAGATATTACTTGAGATTAACACCTTGGACACAGTCGCGAATAGGTCATGTGACAATTATGTTATCACTAATATATTTTAGTCTCGTCCTTTCTTCGGTTGCGAAGCTTAGTGCACCCACTGTTACAATGAGGGACTAGCCCAAACGGGCCATACCCTAAGGGCATGGTGCCCGGAGAAGATTGAATGGGGATACCTCCCGGCAATGTACCAAAAAAAAAAAATATTTTTTTTTTCACTTGATCTAATCATGTTTATATATATCGTAATGCCTAGCTATCAGCTAAAAAAGTGAATAAAGTCATTGAACATTTTCATTTTTTAACTTTCATATAAGAAATATCTGCAAAATATATAAGATAGCGTGCCTAGATGACCTTAATCATCATAAGTACATGACAAATGTTCTAATAGTTACTTTATAGTGACATGGTTTATGAATCACTATTAAATGGATGGGATGAGCTAAACTATAATATTTTTCATCGTTTGAGAACTTCAACCACTAGATATATCACTTTTAATTTGGTAGGCGCAAACAACATACCTTATATAATACATGATGAATAAAAAATGCTCATTAAAATAAAAAAAAAATAAGTCATACAAAAAAGAAAAAAAATGAACATATAAAAAATAGATACTCGCCTGGTTTAAAAGACCAAGACTTAAAACCTTAACTTTGCTCAACTCTGCCTGAATTATTGCTTCTTCAATAAGTTCGTTTAATGCTTCTCTTTGCCATTTGGAAAGGTACTGTAAATGTATAAAAGAGAAACAAAATTATTTATTTTTCTCATGGAAAAATTAGAGTAATCTTACCCAAATCTTACTTGTACATGGAATCTTGGTATAACCCATGATTGCAAATTGAGCATTTGGAAAGCGTTCCTCTCCAGAACAAATGTTTGACCATAAAACCAAGTCACAAGAGCAGACCAAAGAGTGAATGGCCACATCAAATAGAGGTACCATGTAGAAGATTGGGGTCTTGATGCTAAGGAAGCAAATCCCAACCTTAGATGATAGATGGACTCAGGGGTTGTAAGGTGTGTTAGATGTACCACATTTGGGGATCCTTCTTCTTTCTTCAAGGATATTTCATATGTGGTGTCTGTAGTCTTGTCCATGGTTCCAAAAATGTAATCATAAAAGGGCATGAAAAGTGAGTAGTTTGTCCGAAACTGTGTATGATGCAGTGAGTGGAACCTGTCACATACCAAGTTTAGTTAGTTATTCTCCTCTTTATCTTTTTTCTTCCTTTTTGTTTTCAATGGTTAACATTGGTGTTTACAAAGAATATATGCAATATTTTAATATTTTGTTTGTAACATAAAAAATTGACTATGTTTTGGATCTCATTATTAAATGTGATAGGTTATTCTACCTACCATTTTTTCTGCCTACCTATGCTTACCACTCTTCAACACCGTTAGATCAAAATCTCAACTACATTTCTCATTTCTCTCTCCTATTGAGATTATGATCTAGCAGTGTTGAAGGGTGGTAGGCACAGGTAGACAGAAAAAATAGTAAGTAGAATAACCTATTTTTTATTAAATAAGAATAATTTTAAATATTGGAAAATATATTTTTATAATTCAATTTTGATTTTTACATTATCTTGTGTATTGGAAATAGGTATTAGTTGAACATGTTATTAATGTAAAAAAGTATTTTTCAAGGATTTACAAATATTGGATGCAATTTTTGAAAAATTATTCACTAGTCAATTTACGGTCAAATATAAAATAAACGAAACATATTTCATGTATATAATATATTTAAAATGCAATATATTTAAGACTTATTGACAATGAAGAAAATGATCAGCATAATAAGTAACGGTGTCAATTTATTAAAAAAAGTAATTTTATTTTATAAAATATGCTTACGATCAATTGAATATTTGCAATGTATTGAATAAAAATTTCTTATACATATTTAGCTAATCATAATTGCTACTTCAGGAAGCAGATTGAAAATAAGTTTGACGGAAAAATATATAATTAGGTTTTGGGAAAAAGAAGTATCATTTTAAAGAACGCAAGCTTGTGTCTTTTTAGGTGATTTATACAAAGTATGACCGCTCATACTATGTGTAAATCTGAAAAGTTATTTTTTTTTCTCTCCCCAGTCACATCGTTGACGTGTAAAATGAAAAAAGTAACTTTTCAGATTTACACAAAATATGACCGGTCATATTTTGTGTAAGTCACTAAATGACACACACTAAACCCTTAGTTTTAATCAACTTTAAATTTAGTAAAATGATAACTTTTTATTGATTAAGTCTACGTTAATTAGGTTTACTGATCTATATGAAACAATCTCTTTTAAATTTAAATGAAAAGTCGTATGTTAATTATTTACATTAATCAGAAAGAGGTAATTAAGACTATAGGTAACACAGAAACTTGCATCTTTTTTTTAAGCGTATATGTTTATCAACTTAGTTCAAAAGCAAAAATGAACAAAAGAATTGAATAAAACTCCTTTAAGGTGAATTGTTAGTAAAACAAATAAGTAGATATGTTTTTAATTCTCAACCACAAAAGAAAAAGATATATTTAATTTAATTTAAACTTTTTCATAATTTTAACCCACCAAAATAAGGATAAATAAATATTTTTTTTTATAAAAAAAGTACATTAAAATAATTTTTTTAAGATATTAAAATTCATATAATTAAATAATAACACATTCAGAGAGGTTCGAATAAGTATCACATAAACTTCTAAAATCCATCACTATTAATTTATTCATAATATTAAATTTAAAATCTAATTATTTATATCTTATTTTTCACGTCAGGCACTTGATATTCAAGTTAATGTTTTTTAGAATTTGTAAAATGATTTCATATTTTGCATTTTTCTTCTTCATGTTTTTACTATGAAAACTGTATCATTAAGAGAATAGATATCAAATCATCAATAACTGCACAAGTCAAAACAGAATGCAATAGTTAATAATGATTGTTTTGAATTTGAATAAGTTCAATATTGAGAAATCGTTATCAGAAACAATGACATACATTAATTGCGTACGTAAATGTCCAAATTGTCATGGCCCATATGGGTTGTCTCAGTTACACAATAACGATTTATGCTACTTCAGACTACATTGGTAACATGTACGTTAATTAACTAATAATTGATAACGATTTATGCTACTTCAGACTACATTGGTAACATGTACGTTAATTAATTAATAATTGAACTATTTGATTGAAGTATAACTAATTGGGATCGGATCCTCTAATGTGAAAAAGTAGTCATGTTATTTCATCACAACCACTCATTAGATTTTTATCTAAAATTAATCAATTTAATTTATTATATACTTTAGCCTATTTTACGAATTCGCAACTTCAAAACTACAGAAAGTGAGCTATAATTATGTGATTTAGTTTACCTATAAAACAGAAAATAAAGAACACCCGTGGACGACACTCAATCCATTCAAGTCATTGCCCTACCCTTTTATACTCGATAAATATATAGTACAAAGCAAACTTGAAATGCGTCACCTTTATTGAGCTGTATGGTTTTTCATGGTTAAAAGTATCCAATGAGTTTATTATACGTGACCACTTCCAAAGTGCTCTAATTGCTCAACCGCATCTTTATCAAAATGAAAGCTACATTTCTGACAGTAAATTTTACAAGTGATTAATTCTTATGATTACCAGGAGTTTTTATACGAAAATTTGGATATTAATAAATTTTTAAATTTTTATTATTTATTATTTATATGCTTATTGTTATCACTTTATAATTATCAAGTTTACGTTTTATTATCTAAAGTACAGAATACACTTTCTAAAATCCAAATACATTATGAACATCATTTTACAACGGGATTGATTCTAAGGCTTTCTCTTCTATGCCGTTTCCTTTTTTTCTTCTCTCTCTCTCTCTCTCTCTCTCTCTCTCTCTCTCTCTCTCTCTCTCTCTCTCTCTGTGTGTGTGTAACAAAATTCACATAATTTTTTTATCGTTGATATTTTTTAAGATAATAAGTAAAAGTCACATGATATTGAATTATAACTTGATGAGATCGAAGTTCAATAATTTATTGGATTTTTTATTCCAATGATCTTATGAAAAATTCATCTTAAGCTCTTGAATTCCTTTAATTTAATATAATAATATAACTGATAAACTATTTAGTAGTTAACTTTGAAAAAAAGGGTATACTCTTATTATAGGCTCGTACCTACAACGTAGGCAGCATTATTCAGGAATATATGCTATCTATTTGGGATATCCAATATTTATCAAGCGATGAAAGGAAAGGAACCTTTTTATCATATATTAAGAAGAATCCTTAGTAAAAAAGAAAAAAAAAAGAACCCTTAGTATAATTCTTAGTTTTTTAAATTTTTGGTTTTCTATGTATGTACCACCCATTTACATAAGATTAATGATTCTCGTGGTGAATGTTTTTGCTATTGACCCTAAATTGTTTCGTATAGAATTCAAATCAGAAACCTTTCAACCGAACATATTTTTGTTTGGGCACAACTCACTTATCTTGAGGTTCTAGTTTTTTTATTTAACTCTCCTAAAACTTGATAGTGTGAAGAGTTAGAAACTTACGATGGCGTATACATGAGATACTTTAGGAAGGGAAAGGTGGAGAAGATAGCCTTTGGAATGAACTCGAAATTGCAGTGTCCCAAATTGTTCATGAAGTCAATGTATGCGAGATAGCCTGCAAAGGATGCTATGGATGCTGTTCTTGTAACTATTGTTGTTAATAGTGGAATGGCAAATAGCACAAAGTAGGCCATGTGTTCGGCAAATGGATGGATCACAGCTGCAAAATTGAAGAACCCAATAAGTGCATCTCGCAAAAATATCTTCTACATTTTGAAGTTTTGCTAATTTGTCTAGAACTTTCCTTTCAGAAATTAATTAAAGCCACATGCCTTGTTAAATTTGTGGTCCATGTCACAAAGCCTATTTCGATGTAACAAAACCTATTTCTATTTAAGCTTATAGATTTATATCTCATATAACCCATTTTAGATTCTTGACATATATACCCATATATATTTCCTTAAAACAAAATATAAACAATAAATCACTTTTCATAAAATCCCAATTTCGAGGATAGCAATAAAAAAAATTCTCATGCATAACTTTATTATTATATAATGAGTAAGGATCTGTTTACAAATTTTTTTGACAAATTTTTATAAATTATATCATCTTCTTCCAGGAGAACATAGTGAAACCTAGTGTTCTCCCGGGAGAAGATAATATAGTTTGTAAACAAAAAAGTTTGTAAATATAACCTGCCCCTTATATAATTATTTATTTGCTCGGTTTAATCTCGTAACCTAGATGAGAGTAGTACTAGAATGAATTATCTCTTGGAAAGTTCTCGTGTCGCATTTTTTTTTTTTAAAGAGTGAACTTGGTATAGTGGTAAAATTACTCATTTATGATTAACAGGTTACATATTCAAATTTACGAAACAACTTCTTTATAAATAATAACATAAAAAAATTGCCATCATTATTCTTACCCTTTGCAGTCCAGGATTAATAATGAGTGGAATTGTTCAAATCCGTGGCCTCATCGCTATCAAGAATAACTTTACTATCACTCGAGGCTCGTCCTCTCTTTGAGGACGTGATAAAAAAGAATTGTTTCAAACATTATTTCCCCCCATTAAAACAACCATGCAAGTGTTGGTATAGCAGGAAAAAAATATTTAAAAGTATGAATTGCAATAAGATAAAAAGGAAAAGGAAAACGTACAAGTAATGGGTTCTGTAACAATGGATGAATGATGGTGAGAATGGTAACGAGAATAGAGGAAGTGGTGATGAAGTGCTCTGTGTAACCAATAATAAAGATACTCCACTGGTCCAGCATGCAACAAAGCTGTGATAACAACACCATCTGTTTTCCACAAGGGCAAGTGAGAAGATTCTGGAATTAGCATATGACCTATATAAAACAAGAGCCCATTGAACAAGATCTGGTCATCCCTGAAAAATTAACATTTACATAAGATGTAGGTAAAAGGAATATAAATATCTTCATATAATTAAAATGATAAATTGGAGCAATCATTCACAGTCAGATATATAACCATATATATTTAGAAGGCACCGTGCCTATATAAAAAGTTTTGGAAAATTGTTATGTTTGAAATCATTAAAATATTAAGCACTAACCAATTGCTTTCTCGATCAACTTGTTCAAACTCAATGCCCTTGTCAACGATTCTGTTTTTGCCTTTGGCAGTTCGATACCGAGACAGAGTGATCCAAATCTGGTCGTGTAGCATTCTCACCATCATATATGGGAAGATGAGGAAGTAACTAAGGTCCCTCTCCTTTGGATCTTTTGCTAGGAAAGAATAGGTGCTGTGTACAATCCATGGTGTCAAAATCACCCACTTTTCATCCATTCCATACATAGAAATAAAAAAAAAAAAAATGTTAGCTACATTATTTTTTGCATAAATTTATGGGTAATAATGCATGATTGTTCAAGTTATGAGTTTGATTATGGTAACTGTGAAGAATCTTGAGATACACCACTCCAAAAGCTAGCTCAAAGGGTGAGAGTGTCCAAGGCCTTATAAAGGTCATATTAGTTGCCCATCCAATCAATGTGGGACTATATATCTCAACACGCCCCCTCACGCAAGAGCCCTTTAGTATAGAAGGGCGGAAATTGCACAGGCCCATCTTTGGTTTACCTTTTGTGCTTTTTATTTTTTATTTTTAATTCCACTTTAAAGCGGGGGACAGTAAGACTCTGATACCATGTGAAGAATATTGAGATACACCACCCCAAAAGCTAGCTCAAAGGGTGGGAGTGCCCAAGGCCATATTAGTTGCTCATCCAATCAATGTGAGACTATATATCTCAATAGTAATTGGTAAAACTAGTATATATTGCTTTAAAATGTGAGAAAAAAATTGGTTAGAAATACTAACAGTAGAATATAAGTATCTTAGAAAAATAATGATTACACAGTTCATAATAACTACGAAACCTTAAAACTCCCAAGAGGCTTCCATGGCCAATTAGTTAGTATGCCAGGCTTGGACGCCATCGTTATGATAATATAGGGTATAAGAAGTGTGCCAAAGATGTGTGTACATACATGCTCTTGGGGACAAGGTAGCTATATTTATAATGGCCAAAAATAAGCTAGCTGTATTTATGAGCTTGATTAAAACCGAGGGTACAGAAATATGTCATGTCATTACAAATTTCGGAACCAGATCTAAACAAGGAAAATAAATTTTGGAAAAACTCCGTATAGTTAGGTAAATGGGGACGCAAAGTTAGTTTTCGATGAATTATATAATAGAATTAATTTATGGAAAATTATTTTCTCATTTTACGAGATAACTATCTCATGCTACTTTCATATAAAAAGTTGTGCCACCACTTTTTCTTTTTTTCTTTTTTTTAATGTGTGGTGGGCCCCACCACGTACATCATGTGTGTATTACTTTTGTAGGGTTTGCATTTGTCATTTAACATGACACAACAAAATTTTCTACTTGCACAACATTTTGTGGGTCCCACACTTTTTGAAGAAAAAAGAAAAATAAAATAACGGCATGTAAAACGAATTTCTATAACATTACAGAATCAATTTTCCTACAACATAACTCTTATAAAACCCTTTATATATAAACACAACAAAACATAAAACAAAAGACAAAGTTCATTATTTCCGTAAAAATGCTATTATAGTCAAATTTTTTTTAATGTTATTACTTTAGTTACTAACGTTGATTTTGTATCACTTTTGCCACCCAATATTGAAATTTTATTGAGATATGGGCTAAATTAACCCAAATGCCGATCAGTCTCGTAAGCATATCTAATTCAAAGATAGATTTAGTAAATAACATCTCATATCAATTTATATCCTAAACTTATTAATAACTCGCCTTTAGGAATATATAGAGTAACTATTAAGGCTTCAAAATAAGCCCTTTAATAATCAAATGTTAATTCAAATTTTGCCCAAGTGAAAAATGTGTTAGGCTCATCGATGATTACTGAATCTATAATATCCACACACACACACAAAAAAAAAAAATTATGTGAGTAGGAATCAAATTGATAATATAATCAAATAATTGGTTGCATTCTTTTAATTATGCAATTTTATGATAGAATATTATGTTAGAAATTTTATTTTATGGGCAATATTAATGAATTAGTTTTGTATTTAAATTAATCGGGTTAATGGATATTCCAATATTATTATTGTAACTAGCCCATTGTGATCACATTAAATTGGACTTCTGGCATCTGTTGTTATTGGGCTTAGTTGGGCAGCAATGTAAGCTTTTGTGTGACCCAAATTTTTCATGATGGGTGGACCCAGTGGACACAGACTATTATCTGGGTTATTAGCTAGGTTCCCTTTCTATCCTATTTATATTGGAGTTAAACTCCATAAGTCATCATGTTCTCATCGCTGAGGCTGCCTTTATCGAAATAGGTGATAGAGAGGAAGATCCGGCATGTAGTCCCTTCTTTCTTTTGACTTTGTGATGATCCAATAAAGTACGCACAATCTCAACTCTGATTTCATATTGTTTGGTATTTTATAATTATATACATGATTCAGGGATAAAATAAATCTAACATTTAGTATCAGAGCCACATGTATATGATTATAGAATCCTTTCATTTTGAGAAAATTGAATTTTTCATTAATTTGTTGTTTGGTTGAACTCAGAATCTTAGGACTTTAGCGCTGCTATAATTAAAAAGTCATTTTTAGATTTTCTATTTTCAATCCTTCTATGACTTCTAGATCACCATTTGTTGTGTACTCTTGTTCTGCAATTCTTATTTAAATTCTCTATGGTCTACATGTGTAAGAACCCGCACCGTTAAATTGGAAATTTAATTAATAATTATGAGTTAGAAAATACTTTCATAATTGACCTTGAATAATTATGAGAGAGCTTAAATAATTATAGTAAGTGATTAATAATGTTGAAAGTCTCTTTTCTGACGAAAAGTGCAGATACCGATTCTGCTTCACGGTATAAATATGTACCGGTGAAGTATCCTGAAAAATAATAAAAAGTATGTATATATTACTAGAATAATATCTAGGACTGGTATGTCAAGTTTGGAGTCGAAATAATGAGAGCTGACGTCAGGACTGATATCGGCTACGTAAAAGCACGTACCGGCAAAGTGCTGCGAAAATTATAATAAAAATATGATAAATCCTAGAAAAATGACTAGGTTAGGAATCCAAAGTTTGAGATTGAAATGATAAGAGGAGCTATTATGGCTAATACCGACGCTTAAAACTTAATGAGGCTATAAATACACATTTACACAGAACCCTAGGCTGATCCTTCAGCCTTCTACGTGGGTTTTAGCTGCTGCATTGCTATCTAAGCTGGTCACCTTCTTCCCTTCCTCTTGTGAGTCAAAGTGAGCACCTTATTGTCCAAGTTTCTTCATCTTATCACCATATATAACTTGGTGTGAGCAACCTTGTGAGGGTGAGAGTCATCCCATTTTCTGAGTATGGTCTCTGTTTAGTGGTGGTTTAGGAGCTGAGTTCTTGAGTTTCATGGAGGAAGCGATTGTCTTGGCTTTTGGAGCTTCAAGAAACCATTTTTATTGAGAAAGGACCTTGCTTGTTAGCCTTTTTCGTGGACCCTTAAAGTCAAAACTTTGGGACTGACTTGTGAGCTCCAAGAGCACTTGTGGTTTCTGTTTTGAGCCTTTGGGGTATGTTTCTCACCTTTGATCATGATTTTCCTTGTTAAAGATCAAGTCTTGACATGTAAAATGGTAGGATTAAGTAGCTAACATGATCACAGACCTAAATGGGTTTTAAGATGCATGCTTTAACGTGTATATGAGATAAACATGGAGCCTTGGTTGGATATCTTCGCGAAAATGCAGAACTGCATTCTGTCGCGAAATATCCGGATATGATATCCAGATATAGGGTTTGTGATATCCGGATATGCCCCATACAAATATCTGAATATTTTGGGAAAGTGCGAGTGGTGCACTGTTCTATTCATACAGAATTGTATATTGGGTTTATGGACCCATGATTGGTTAAGTTGAACCTCTGTAATTCAACTAAGTCAGAATCACTTGGATTAAAGGCTTATGGCTATGGGAAAAGCCTAATGGCATGAAACAAAAAAGGAAATGTTGTCATAATGAAATGAACCTTAAAGAGTATGGATATTGATGATGTTTCTGGTCTAAACAGATTGTAATTGTGTTGTGTTTGGACCTTGGGTTGTTGTGGACTCTTGACTTGGGATTGATTGCTTGCGAGGTAAGCTTTTGTGTCCTCGGTTTGGCCCATTGTTGGTTCCACCATACCTCATGGAGGGATGGTTTATATGCATGATGTGTTTTCATGAAATGATGTTTATTGAAATGCTATTGAGCTGTTAAGTGCATGTGCCTTATGATATGTATGTGGTGTTCCACCTAGACGGTAAGCCTGAGTGTATAGCGTCATACAAGATGGTTATTCTGTGGGTGAGGTACAAACGGTGTTCCTTGTACTGTAGGTTGTAGACGTATATAAATCCTGCATGTTTATTCTCTAGCCAGTAGGATTTTGACACACATGACATGATTATATGCTGCATTGCACGGATTTTGGAACTTATACTGTGATACTGCTTTTGAACTTATATTTCACATGTAAGTGAGCTTGGGGTGGAGAGATCATTGAGGACCCTTTGCTTTACTAAGATTTCTTTTTAGAGATCCCACCCCGTGTTGGGGCACATTTTCAGGTTCAGGTACCTCGGGGGTTGCGACCTCGGGCGATAGGAGGCTGGAGTAGAGTTGATTATGCATGTTGACTGCTGATATGCCTGCTTAGTGATTATAATTTATTTTCATTATCATGTTATTTGAGTTGAGACTTAGTTTGACTTTGTTGTCTTATTTGGTGAGCATGGGGGTTGTCCATGCCATATTGTTTTAACTATGTTTATTTAGACTTGAGTTGTATAATGCATCAGGATATTGTCCGGAGTACGTGTTGTAGTTACGTGATTAGATACACATCTATATATGAGGTTATTCATTTAGTTATTTATTGTAATTTACATACAGACATTATTTTTTGAAAAAAGATTAAGTAATCAATTTAGTTGATAATAATGACATCATAATTGAAAAGAAAAAGTTAATTTTCGCATTTAATTAGCTGCGCTACTGCCATATGCATGTTTAATATACCGAGTGCAGAGGGTGTTACAACATGCCTTATGGTAAATAGTATTTTTTATGAAGACTGGATATTCAAGTTTAAATAAAACTTGTTACACAGAGTTTAACGTTTGTATATGCTTCCTGAAGTTCTGATATTTTGTTTTGTGAAATATGCCATATCTACTACAAGCAATTCTATTTCGTGAAAACTGTTAGCAATTAACAGTTTCGATTTTCGTGCTTTGTTGTACACACTATTACGTTGCACTTTTGATTTTAGTGAAAGTGTGCTTTTGTCGAATTGTTTCGAAATGCGTCTTGCCTTTAGCTGCATATTCAGATTTCATGTTGGTGGATTTATTGTGACGCTCCTTGAATTAGTATGGATACTATTCTGATATGTAGTTGAAGTTACTATGGTGAAATCACGAGATATTCACGTAGCTATTTTGTTATTGCTAGTGACTTTACTTGATTTCTGTGTTTTACGTTTCAATCACTATTACTTTTTTAATTTAAATGATTCATTATCGGTTGAATTGAGAAACTCAGTATTTGTTTTACCTTAATTAAAAGGGCACTTTTTGGTATTCGATTTCCATGCACAATCTTATATGTCTTCTTAATCATCGTTTCTCGTGCACTTCTTTCCTCCATTTTTATTAGGATATCTTTTGATCTACATCCCTTATTGTGATTAGTATTTTCCAAGACTAGAATGTTAAGTTACTGTTGTGCATTCTTTCATTGTACTATTCTAGTTAATGTTTCACAGTAATTCAAAGTGTTGTTTCGTGAAACGTGAATGGTGAATACTATTTGTAATTTGTTTCTACTGCTGATTCTCATTTGACTTTGTGTTTA